CCGCTACTCTTGTCTTGAGCATCCTCATTGTTTGACCAACAGAAAAGATATCGCAAACGCCGTATTGTAGCTTAGATTACATTTTTTTTTTATGGTTGTGATCCAATAGATCTTTAAGAACTCTTATAAGTCTTTTTAGTTTATTTAGGCTACAAGAAAAGCCAGCAAAGATCCCTCTTTTTTTTGGTTCTTAATGTATTTTGAGATTGCAAGAAACAAACCGTTTATAAACGGAATAATAAAGAAATTCTTATTGTGAAAATCAAAGTCTATTGATACATTATTTTTTATTGATTAAGTCTATTATTTACAAGAAATTTTAAAAAAATCTTTAAAACCTTAAAAATCGAATACAATGGATAATTATTTGAAATAAGAGTGTTGATTACAAAATGCAAATTCTTTCTATGAAATTTAGGGTGTGATAGTAATAATGCTCTATCAGTCATACCGATAATACTTTTCCTATCTTTTGAGAAATAGGATGAGCTGAATAATAATTCAGGTATCTTCCGGAAAAAGAGCATTTATGGAACCAACCACAAAAAATCACATTATTAAAAACAATTAATTTGACATCTAAAAAACTCAAAGGAAAGTCCTTTTTTATTTTCACAGTGAATTTCAATCTCTCGTCATAATTATTAAAATTGTTTAGTAAGTCCTCCAGTTCACTCAGAGGTGCGGTCAAAACTGTCATCAATGTATCTGAAATAAAATACCGGTTTAAATGTAAGTTTTTTTAGAACTGATTTCTCAAGATTTTACATGACCATGTCAGCAATAATAGGTGACAACGGTGAGCCCATAGGAACACCATAAGTTTGTTTGTAAAAGTTGTTATCAAAAGAAAAATAGGTGGATGATAAAACAAATTCAACTGCTTGTAAGAACTTTGAAAGAGGAATCTTTGTATTACCACGGATATGTTTCCAGCGTAATTGATGAAAATTCTTTTCTATTCTATTGCGTGAAATGAGTAAAAGGGTTTAGTCCAGTATTAATGATTGTAGAAAAATAAGTTTATTGTAGTTAAATTGCATCAATCTTGAACAGGTTCTGTGTAAACAAATTGGCGTGCTCAATACCAATCGTTCATAAAATTTTTCAAATGCTGAGATATTGTACAAAATACCAAAATCTAGCCTGTTAAACAAATAATATTAAATTAACTCATAGATTAGAAACACGTATTCATCGTTTGCAAAGCGAGGCAACTTTTTGCAGTCACTTTTAGTTACATACTAAACTGAATATTCATTTACCTTACGTGCTTTCACTTTCATTTACTTAACTTTGGTTAAATACACTTCTCCACGATTTATTAAATAATTATAGATTACATTTTTATTAATAATAATCTGGCTTTCAACAACATATTATTTCTGCATGCCTTCTTCTCAAGACATTACCAACACAACAAAATAAAAAACTACTCACACGCATAACAAAACAACGCCATCTACGTGCTCTATTTGAATTTAATTTCAACAGTAATTTTGTGCTTTTGAATGCTAAGTTAATAAGTACATTAGTGAATAAGAAAATAACATCCAAATATAAGAGAATGTGTTCCTGCAGCAATTGAACCCCGCTGAGTCTTCCAACTAAATGGAAACTGTCACGGATATGGCTATCCGCTTCAAGAATACTTTTAAAAATAATTTTATGTAAAAATTCAGCAAAAAGATGTAACGGACCGTTAATAGAAGAAACAATAAGTCTGTAAGGAAAGCTCGGTTTGTGTATTTTGGGCAAACCGACACGATATATATGTTAATAAAATTAGGATATCAATCTTACAAGATTTCAAGAAAAAAATGCCGGCCTTCTAAGGGTTAATATGCATTACATTTAGTTATGTAGGTTAATTTAGAATTAGTAAATTTAATATAATTTAGAATTAGTAAATATTATAATAAAATATTAATGTCCACTGGATAATTACTAGATGTCTACAGGTTATCTACTGTTTCTATTATATATATTGGATGGTTTTTGATTTTTCAGAAAACATCTACATATGTTACCTAAACATTAATTGATGCTATAGGTAAAAAATATACTATTATCTTTTTTATAACAGAACTTTTCCACGCATATCCAAAATACATCCAGAAGACATCCTATCGTATGTTTCTAAAAAGTTTTTTCGAGATATCGTTTAGACGTTTTTTTTTAACACATACTATACTGCTTTGATCAAACTTATCATATTGACTTATTAAAAATAATAATATTTACTATATATTTTAAGTGTATATACCGCGTATGTTATTGTTTCTTATTACATAAAAAATCGGATTCCTTTTGGATTAAAATTGATTTAGTTTTTACCCGCTAAATCGAAGAAATTCCGGTTTACTTCGGATTATTTTTGCCAGTCACGAAAAAATCGGATTTTCATTACATTAAAACATAATAATATTATTTTAAACTAATAAATATATATATTCGGTCATAAGAGCCGTTTGCTAGGTGTTGTGCGGAAATTATATGTGTATATATATCCATATATATACGTGTTCACATGTAAATTTTTACACGTGAAATTCGAATTGAATTAACAATTCTAAAATTCATATTGGATGCTATACTTGCATCTCGTATATGAGAAATCCCAAATACCCCCCTAATTGAAATTAAATTTATATTGCGAAAAAATATTATTTTACTTAAGTTTAAATATCGTTGAAATTTGGAATTGAGAGATATATTTTCTACTCTATTTCTAAAATAGATTTTAGTAATTAGGTTCAGTGATCTTGCGGTCTGAATCCACAGGTTGTGAACATATGGAGATCCTGATGCGAGTTCGAATCCACCCACCACTTTAGAATTTTTTCCGGGCCAGTTCCTTCCGATCGAGTTAGTTCATCGGTTGGAAAACACATTGAATCGAGTTTGCATAGTTACATATATTACTTTTTGTATGCTTATATATGAAATTTTTGCGGGGAACGTTCTATACAAGGTATCTGACAACAAACTATAAAGCCGACGTGTAGATCGGGTCATTCTAAACGGAAAAGTTATTTACCATTTTGCAAACTTCGCAATATTTATTGAGATATGAATTAATAAATGTGAGCCAATGAGGGCGCGGGGAACGATGATCGAAAGAAGTGAAACTATGAGAGTTCTAATTCGGGAGCTCCGAGGAGGGCGCGGGGTATGACGTCACAGGGGAGAGGTGACATCACTATGACGTCACTATGACGTCACGCGACGTCAGGAAGTGACGCGGAGGGACTCTTTATGGCGACTTCACACGCGCATCAGAAGCGACGTCACACGCGGTGCAATATGGCGGTTCGACAATATGGCAATTCCAAGGTATGTACATGTTACTGCGGTAATAAGCATGGTATTTTTAATGTTGTGTAACAATATGTCGACTCCAAAAATATATGTTTTTTATATGAATAAATAACATATATGAAAAACAGCAACTATTGTACATATCTTTTTTTGGCATGTGCCGCGGTATGTAATTATACGCAGTGCGCGTAAAGTTGCAGAGTTGCAGTTTTTAGCGAGAACGTGCACAGTTGCAGTTTTAATTTTAGCGCGAAGTAACAGTTTTTGAATGTTGCGCAACACTATGGCGACTCCAAGAAATATATGTTGTTATATATGAAAAAACAGCAACTATGTATTGGTGCACATATGTCTTTTGACATGTGCCGCGGTATGTAACATTATACGCAGGGACGCGTAAAGTTGCAGAGTTGCAAGTTTTAGCAAGAGTGTTGCAAAGTTGCATTTTTTTATTTTAGCGGGAAGTAATTGCAATTGTTTTAGCGAGAAATAACAAAGACATAATATTCCCTTTTTATATTTAAAGTTTATACATGATAGAAAATATTATTTACATGCATCATATAACATCTTTTAAAGCGCATGCCAATAATTCACAATCTATAATCGCGCTACTGTCGTACACTCCACTTTGACATATCGCTGTTACAGCGTTGCTTACATCAGTGATATTTTGTTCTCGTAGAACGCAAACAAACTGTGCAAACTTTGTATTTACTACATGGGTATGTTCTGCCAACCAATAATACATATTTTCAATACACGAATTTAAAGGTAACAAAAATTTTACGGTAGGTGGTTTCATGTACAAACACTTATCGTTTAATGTAAATTTTACAACTCGTGCGTCGCGAATAATAACGACATTTAGCACTAAATCACGAAGCCACAAAATAGCAGACGCATCGATCGATTGTAGTAGTTGATGAATATCTGTCTGCTTCTGGATGATCGTTTGCCATGTGGAAAATGGTATAAAAGTGAATGTCCATGATTGTCTCCGATAACTATTTCCACATACGAGATTGGACCAACAGTTATTCCAATTTCAATATATTTGTACGTTGATGTTAACGCGTACCGTCTTCCCAAAATGCGAGTCGCCTGATGTGGCGGAGACGCTGTTTGCACACTGTAAAACACGTGTGAATAAAGTATATGTCAAAAACAAAAAACACGTAAAGCAACAGTTTACTTACTTATTGCGTGCAACCTTCGTCTCACCGTGGTATTTTCCGCTAGTCGGTACGGTATACATTGTATCTTCTTGAAACCGCGATCGAAAATTGACTGATGCAATGTCGCGTAAGAGCCCTCTTAAATATTACCCGACCCCACCACTTTGTATTAGAAAAATAATGATGCCATCAAAAAGTATGACTCATATCTTATTTTATATTAGATAAAAAATGCTGATGATAGCAAAAAATTGCTAACTGCGAATTAGAGAAAAAAAATTATGGTAAAATAACTCATAAATTTTGCAAAATATGCAGTTTTTGTCAGGTTTTATCAATTTGATCACGTATTAAAGTAACATAAACCTATATTAAATAATCTTGCTGATGACAACAATTGCTAACTGCGTATTGAAGAAAAAATTACGATGAAATGACTCATAAATTCTGCAAAATATACAGTTTTTTTGTCGGATATCAAATTTCATCGACTTGGTCACATATTAAAGTAACATAATCTTAATATATATTAAAGTTAAAAAATAAATGCTGGTGTCAGCACACCTTGCTAACTGCGTAGTAGAAAATAACGATTGCGTAAGTGTTACACATGACTCATAAATTTCGCAAACTGTANTTCTGTCGGATATCAGATATCATCGATTTTATCACATATTCAAAGTATAGTTTAATATGCAAAACTACAACATCAACCAATATGTAGCATCAGCAAAAATGCACTATAAAAAGGCGAAACCCGTTGCATAAAAGTAGTATTTTATCGGAAAACGGTTGGAGCACTTACTTGCTGTGTGTCTCGAAACCAAAGTGTTATAAGAGTGAAAAATGGGAACAATCGCGCAGTTAGAGCGCAATGTATTGGAACAGTCGACTCGTTTGAACTCGGGAGAAGAGTTTGTCGCGTGGAAGCAACGTTGTGAAGAATGTCTCGAATTATTGGAAGAACATAGTCGGAACAAACGTCCGCGACTGTCTGTAGGAGTCAGACAATCGCTGGAATTGCCCGACTCGAAGGATTAAAAAACTTGCTGCGTCGACAGTTTGCATATAGTGGCGCCAGACATGGACTTACATGGCGAGAGATAGACACCGCTTTTGAGAGTAGACTAATGACGGGTGCTATCATCAACGAAGATCACGTTGAACCTCGCCATTTTCTCGAACACGCGAGAAGCACGGTGTTGGAAAAAGTGCAAAATGCCATTGAAAAACACAATAATCTGAAAATCAATACAACGTTCAATGGTGAATTTGTATCGGGAGACAAACGAGCCAATAAAAGTATAACTACCAGAAATTCGGAAATTTTTTGTACAACTAATTTAGACGACTGGTACGAGCAATACATCATCAAACCTACGTTAGCGTTTTTAGATGAATTTCAAGAACGCGATAGTGGGTGGACCTTGTCACGTATACTGAATTTAACTGTAAACGTGAACAAGTATAATCTAATTAACGTAATATGTTTCAATTATACATTCACGCGTTTTCGACACGTTCATAAGTAACATGATCCATAGTGATGGCTAGCATGATGAACGATTTTAATTATTTAGCAAAAATCAAAGTGACATTTTGATGTTCAACTACAGATATAAAAATCACATAGTTGCAGTAACGACAAATTATTACCGTTATCATGTGTTTCAATTTTACAATCACACGTTTTCGGAACGTTCGTATGTAACATGATCTATAGTGATGACTAGTATGATGATGCTGCCTTGATGTAACAAGATGCGGCAAAACCCAAGACATTTAGACGTTTTAACCGCATACGTATAAAATATCTGCAATAAAAGCGATAGACCAGTAAAGCTATTGAAAAAACACGTGTTCCAATTGTACATTCGCGAGTTTTCAGCACGTTTGTCTGTAACAAAATCCGTTAAGACAAAGAGCGCCTTGATGTAACAAGATTCGTTTTATATGCATTTGGGTATAAAATAATCACATAGCTGCAGTAAAACAGATAAAACGTGTACAGACGTTGCAGTCTGATATAAGTTCATCGGCATTCTGTGGGATACGAGGAAAGACACACGGATTCTTAACACATTTAAAGAATGAGGTATAAATAGGAGCGACTTTTGACGAGTCTCATTAGTCTCAAGTACATCATAGTGTCATCAAGAAATCTACTATGGATATTGTGCAAGAGTGCATCCAGCACACAACAATTGCGCAGTCAGCTGCATCTCATCTGCATCACACTGTCAATATGCTGATCAAAAGCATTAAACAGATAAACACTCAACTGCAGGAATTGGTAAAACGCGACGCGGAAGTACAAATTGGATTTAGAAACGGAACTCAGCTTCTCCAGCAGTTGTAAGTATCAATAATATATTTTACATACTGCATGTGTACATATTGTGTATTTGTTTCAGAATAATTGCAACTACTATTATGAGGGATTTAACACAAGTGCTGCAAACACAAATAACTCGATTCGAAGAAATGAAGGATATGGTGAATCAAGTAATTGGATACATTCATGCTTATGAAAATTCACCGCCTCCAAGTAAGTAAAAATGACAGCAAACCAAATATAAGTATTAGATACATATTATAAATGTTTTTCTTTTTCTTGTTACAGGTGACGATGAAGTAGAAGCCATAGAAATAGAAGTATAATAAGTTTTATATTAGTTTTGTTTTTTACATAGTTTCATGTTTATTTTGTAGTTTCTAATGTTTATCATATAAAATAGTTTATATTATAGTTTATACTATAAGTTATAAGTTATAATACTTTTGAACACACATTTTTACGTTTTTCTACATTATACTGTTTTTTACTTTTATACTTGTTTACTTTATACTTTATACTTTTATATTTTTTACTTTTTATACTTTTTTACCTTATACTTTATTACTTTTTATACATTTTATACTTTTAAAAATAGAATAGTTTTTATATTAGGTTTGAATATTTGTATATTTATGTTAATTAGATAAACATTTTGTTCTTTTTACGTTTTTATAATATTGTACGTACATTAAATAATAATAAGTACACACGTATAAAGACAAAAAACCACTGATACATCACACTTAGCGTAAATTTGTGGCACAATAGTTTATAATGAATTTTAAGTTTTACTACTTTATACAATATAATAAGTTGATATTACATATTATATTATTGTAGTTTATGGGTGATTCTCTGTGAACGCGTAAATTTCAACTTTCAGTTTTGATAAAAAATAATTATTATTAACTAACGGATAGCGGTGAATTATGTTTTTTATACCATTTTAAGTCACCATTCGTAATATGAATACGTGACTATGCGATATAAAAAACTTATCTATGTTTTTTGTCAATATACCACGGAGATTACAGTCCACGGAGATTACGTTTTTTGAGAATTACCCTTATAATGTATAAGGTTTTTTTATATATATATTATACTTTTTCTTTGTATTGTTTTATATATTATTCTTTTTTCTGTATTTTATATTGCCTTTTCTTATACTGTCATTTGTATATTAATATATAAAAATTAGTTTATAGAAATTATTTCTTTTACAAATAATTTATCACACCTGTTATCTGATCCAACCTAACTCCTGATGTCTTTACGCAACACAGAACTAGATAGATTAAATAATAATACAATATATACTTCTTTGTTTTTATTGCCAAAAACCTCTGCAGTCATATTCTCGCTTCGCACTGCGTTTTACACGTATCATATGAAATTGCAACTTTCTATACTCGTCTCGCTTTGTACTATTGTCGCACTGCGTTCTACACGTAATGTAAAAATGCAACTCTGCATCTTTCTATATTCGTCTCTTTGCACTGCATTCTCATCGAACAACACAGACGTCACAAACACATCCAAAATATATTGTTTGTAGCAATTATATTATATACAATTTTATCCATTATGTAAAAAGTACATACCTTAGAATCGCCATATTGTCATCGAATCTGCCGCTATATTGTCACTTCCTGTCACGTCATGTCTCACTCCGCCATACTGCCGCGTGACGTCGTAGGGCCCGCCGCCATATTGTTGTGTGACGTTACTTTCTGGGACGTTATTTCTTTCACCGTATTGCCGCGTGATATCACGCCTTGTGACGTCATACCCCGCCTCCCCTCGGAGCTCCCGAATTAGGGTGCATTCCGATATTCACTGCCAGTACTGACAATGTGACGTCATAAAACAATGCTGTTTCTATGTTCCGCAATTACTTGTACTGTTTCTTCCATCGTATAACGGAACGATTTTACAGTATCTTTTGAAGTGTACAAACATAACCAAAAATCAATCAGTGAACACGTAAGAATGGACGCCGCCATCTTTCTACTGCGACTGCCTTACCTCTCCAACCGCAGTGATGAAAGCAGGAAGTGACGACAAAATCCGTGACGTCATATGCTCGCAAACGTGCTTCGACAGCTTACTGCTATGTATTTTGGAACGGTACTTGTGACGCTGCCAGTACTGGCAGTAAATATCGGAATGCACCCTTAGAACTCTCATAGTTTCACTACTATCGAACTCTATAAGCGTGCACAATTATCAGATAAAAAGAAAAATGGCTTTTCTCATGTAATGTTTTAGTAACGAGAGGCGGAGTAAACAAACAAGCGCGGCACGACTCATTGTCAGTTTCTTGCAATCGGACGCTATTCGACAGTACGCAGCGAGCAGCGGCGAGCGAAAAGTAGAGCTCATAATTATTGTGCACGCCTATAGGGTCCGATTATCGCTCTTCGCGCTCTCATTGGCTTACACTTATTAATTTATATTTCAATAACTATTGCAAATTTTGTAAAATGGTAAATAACTTTTCTGTTTACAATAACTCGATCTACCTACACACGTCGGTTTTACAGTTCGTTGTCAGACACCCTGTATATATCCTATAACACTCCTCTAGAACGTCTCACGTTAATATCCTGAGGACTTTCTAGGTATAGCATGACGCGCTCATTTGCTAATCCTCAGGACATCTACAATAGATTTCGGAATTAAAACAAAATGTCCACAGGATATCCCGTTTTTCATATGGGATGTCTTCTGGATGTCCAGAGGACGTCCATGTGCTATCTGGGTTTCTTTTCCCAGCAAACAATTTCTGATTGCGCAGACCTTGGCAACAGAAACTGTGCAGAAACGCTACAATACGGAAACATGCTTTGGTACTGCCAAAACTGTTAGCACGTAGAGACAAAAAACGCAACAACTCTGTTGGCAAATACATGAGAGTATTGCGGCCAAAATGATTCCATATATGTTAGTGAAATTGANAACAAATAGATGGTCGATACCAAGCAGATCTGCTTTTAGCAATACTATGACTAAACAGTCCGCAAAACCGTACGAGCATCTGTTTATGACAAAACAGTGACCGCAATCGGGTCGATTTGTTGAACGTATTGACGACAGATTGCCAGCAAACGCCAAGCAGATCTGTTCGTGCATACGTGCGGACTGTTTGCACGCAAGACTACTAGACTGTCTATTTGATATCTAGACAACAAAATGGCGATTATCTGCGATCGTATCTGTCGCCTGTGTTGATAACAGATTGTTAACAAACATTGAACAGTCTTTTACAGTTAGACTTTGTTTATGCGGGCAATAACTGTTAACTTATGCCGGAACCGGTAAAGTTCAACTGCAAGATTTTAATACTTTTGTTTATACACATTCGGCAATGAAGCAATCATAAATGTAATGTATTATTCTCGTATTTATTAAGTAATATGAAACAATGAGTACTTTTCAGCTACGTACAGTCGACACTGTACAGTGTAACACAATGTCCACTAGTGTGAATGAGATACACTGATATGCTCTTTCTCGCTAATAAACAGTATGTTATACATTTAACTTTAATTTTCTCGGAAATGTGACGTGATAGATCAATGTCGCCGCCGGATTTGTTTTCAGTAATCAAAAATCCATTAAAAAACACTTTGTTTATTCAAGTAGCAGCATATATTAACAAAACATTTGTTCGCGTTGTAAAAATGTACAGTGCGGAGCACCATATCGTGCGCCGTGAGGAGAAGTAGTTCTCCTCCGGCCGCCTACTATCACGCCAGCGGCTCAAGATTTAATCCATATATCGGCACGGTTACCGATGATACATACCGACGCGGTTACCAATAATACCGACAGGCATATGTTATCATAAAACTATCGTGAACATTGAAAAGAGTAACTCTGCATTAAAAGTGACTTCAATA